TAGCTGAGTTATTTCAGGCTCCTCTTCTGATCAGGGTTGAGCTAGCCCCACGCATGCCCCAGCCAGTGTTGCTCCAGAGTTGCCGGCTCCCCAGTCCCCTCCCTCGGGGATGGGGGTGGCAGGCTCACCTGCAGACTGCTTCTTTAACCCTTTGAGCCCAAAGGTTTTCTGACTCCTTGGAGGTAGGGCCAGGATTAGCCAAGAGACCTGGCCAAACAATGCTCAGAGTCCTCGACTTAACGCCGGCTCTCTCTCCAAACCCCTCACCAGCCTCCACCATAGGGACAAGAGCAAGAGCGGCACCTTCAGCCAGGTGCTTACGTCTTCTTGGCAGCAGTCTGTCGTCACAAGGATTCCCAGCCACTGGCCAGTCAGGATGTTGAAACCTGAGCCAGGCAGGGAGGATTCTCCCAGGCTCTAATCAGCCCTCGGGAGCTGAGCTCAGCTGGAAGGAATTCCACCTGTCTCTGACGACTCAGGATGGCAGGCCGATGGCAGGCAGGCTTGAGTTTTCCCAGCTGAGGACCTAAACTCAGTTAAGATGTTTTGTCATTGAACTTTTCGAGATCTCTTTGAAGTGCCTATTATGACAGCTGCTTTACACATTGGACATCTCGGGGTACAAATATAGGTAATTTGAGACAGTGTCTGGATTTGGGGCCTGAAGTTTCTTGTAGCCGGGAACCAAATATGTTCCCAAATATATGAATTCCTAGTCTCTAGTTCTAATCTGCAGTTCCCAAAATGGCGGAGAACGAAGAGTGACATAAAGAGGGGGAAATACATAGCCAATAAAAGAAAGCAGGGCCCTGGAGAACATTTTTGTTGTGTGTTGAAAATATCAGGCATTCCTCAACCGTCTTTCCTACAAGGAATATAGACTAAAGCTGGAGAGAGAATTATACACGTGACCTGATGCTCCATGTATCAGGCTCCAACTGGCAGAAAGTTGCATGAGAGAGCCTAGCACAGGCCCAGCCTCTTTGCCTTCAGCCTTATGTGCCCTGTGTTCTTTGCTTACAGAATTCTAAGAGCGCTCAAGGTCTGGCTGGTCTTCGAAACCTTGGGAACACGGTGAGTTCTTAGCAGCTAACGTCTTTCCTGAGGCCACCCTCTAGCATCCCAACTGGAACAATCTAACCAGAGTCCCCTCCTGGCTCCAGCTACCTCCCTACGCTCTGGGCCAGCTGGTACCTGCCCTTCCTGATTGGTCCTTTGCAGAATTGCTGGGCTCTGCCTCACCCACGTCCCCAGCAGGAAGCACTGCTAAAGGGAGTTGCCCTTTTAACTGTCAGCTCCTTTCCTGGATGCTTCTCCTCAAGGATATCTATCATGTCCCACCCGCTTCTGTCCAGCTCACCCACAGCCTTTCGGACACCTCTGTAGTAAATAACCAGTCACCTCCCCTGTGCCAGCTGTGGGAATTTGCCTCTCTTTGCCCCTTTCACTTACAAAAAGACGAACTTGGGAGGATCCATTTCAGGGGTAGATGAACCGGAGGGCCTTTGGTACTAAGTAGGGATGCCAAGTGGGTCTCTCTTCCCTTGCTGATTGTCTGGATCGTTTCTTGCAGTGCTTCATGAACTCAATTCTGCAGTGCCTGAGCAACACCCGGGAGTTGAGAGATTATTGCCTCCAGAGACTCTATATGCGGGATCTCAGCCACAGCAGCAATGCACACACAGCCCTCATGGAAGGTGAGGAACCCCTCTGCGGACACAGTCCTGCTTCTCTTCTGGACACCTTCCCACTCTCCCACTGCTGTACTGGTAGTTGTGTTGTATATGTACCTCTCCTGTTTTTCTTTCTTTGGCTTCTTTTTGTTGGGATTCTGATTTCAGAGTTTCCTATAGAAGATGTCTCACCTGTCCTCCATGCCCCTTCTCTACCTTCACCTTTTAACAGAGTTTGCAAAACTAATCCAGACCATATGGACTTCATCCCCCAACGATGTGGTAAGCCCATCTGAGTTCAAGACCCAGATCCAGAGATATGCACCGCGCTTCGTTGGCTATAAGTAAGGACCTTGCAGGCATGTCCTCCCCAGGGTGGGTGGCAGCAACAGCATGTTCTTGAGATGAAAGGTATTGCTCACTCTCTTTTCCTTGGGCTCAGTCAGCAGGATGCTCAGGAATTTCTTCGCTTTCTTCTGGATGGGCTCCACAACGAGGTGAACCGAGTAACAGTGAGGCCTAAGTCCAACCCTGAGAACCTCGATCATCTTCCGTAAGTCTGAGGAGAATGCTGTGGGAAGCGAAACTTCGTGAATCTACCTCTCTGGGGGTAATGATCAGGGGAGAATTTTAAATACTAAGGATTAAGATTGCTAGACCCTTGAACTTATCATGGTTTGAGCTCTGACCCAATTGTGTTCCTCCCTCTGGTTCCTAGTGATGATGAGAAAGGGCGACAGATGTGGAGGAAATACCTAGAACGGGAAGACAGTCGGATTGGGGGTAAGTGCATGAATAGGGGGAATGCCCACTTTCCCTGTTAACTACTTTTGCCTGAGCAGAGCATGAAAAGCCCTAAGAATCATCCTCCCAGGGAACCCTCTTTCTGCCCAGTGTCCGACAAACTGAGGCAGGAGGAGTGAGAAGGGAGACACATAGAAGACCACGTGCTCGCTTCCCTGTGTGAAGCATCGCGTGTCCATCTCTTCCCCAGATCTCTTTGTCGGGCAACTAAAGAGCTCCCTGACGTGTACTGATTGTGGCTACTGTTCTACAGTCTTTGACCCCTTCTGGGACCTCTCACTGCCCATTGCTAAGGTATGCAACCTGTTGCCCTACTTCTGAAACTTGAACTCTTATCCTTTCGTGTCGTTGACCTCTGACCTGTACTTTTTTCTCTCCCAGCGAGGTTATCCTGAGGTGACTTTAATGGACTGCATGAGGCTCTTCACCAAAGAGGATGTGCTTGATGGCGATGAAAAGCCCGTAAGTCACCCTTCCATAACAGCAGTTTCCAAGAGATGTGTCTGGGGACAACGCTGTCACCAGCAAAGCCAGCCCAGGCCCATTGACTTCTCCCACCAGTCCTTTCTAGCTCTGTCCGTCATGTCTTTCAGACATGCTGTCGCTGCCGAGCCAGAAAACGATGTATAAAGAAGTTCTCCATCCAGAGGTTCCCAAAGATCTTGGTGCTCCGTATCCTTAAGATCCGTCAAGGGCCTTGACTCCAGAGAGTGACTGATAGGGGGCCAGGAGGTGAGGGCGAACAGAGTAGGAAAAAAGGAAACTTGATAGACTTTCCTTCTCGCGTTTCTCTTCTGCTTCTGGAGAAGCGCAGTTGCCCTCTTAGGACTCGGTCTCCTTTGCTTTGACTTTGTTCTCGCCACCGTGTCAGTCCTTGACTCATGTCAATACCAGATCTGAAGCGGTTCTCAGAATCCAGGATACGAACCAGCAAGCTCACAACATTTGTGAATTTCCCCCTAAGAGACCTGGACTTGAGAGAATTTGCCTCAGAAAACACCAGTGAGTATTTTTCAGCTGGGAGGGCAGAAGCAAGGCACCAGTGTCTAAGATACCATTGGGAGGCCAAGAGGTGGAGGGATGCTGCTGAAGAGAGCCATGAAAACCGGGAAGAGGCAGGAGGGGGAGGGAAGACGGGGGCAAGGAATGCCTCAGGGGTTGTATTTCCTCCTCAGACCACGCTGTTTACAACCTGTATGCTGTGTCCAATCACTCCGGAACCACCATGGGCGGCCATTACACAGCCTACTGCCGGAGTCCAGTGACGGGCGAATGGCACACTTTCAATGACTCCAGGTGAGACAGAGGTCTCAGACAGGCCTCCTGGTGTCAGACATCTGTGCCTCACCCACCTATATGGCTTCCACCTTCACTAGACAGAAAAGGTCAGAGCCAAAAGCCATGTAACACATGTGAGACGGCTCCTATTTGAAGAATCTCTAGGGGGCAGCAAGAGGTTGGCCTTGGGTGTGTAATAGAGAGGTTAGAGAGGCCCCACACTCCCTCAGCCACTCAGCTCTGTGTCTCGATGGCCCCCTCACCAGGCCCTGACTTTTCCTGCTCTCTCCACAGCGTCACACCCATGTCCTCCAGCCAAGTGCGCACCAGCGACGCCTATTTGCTCTTCTACGAACTGGCCAGTCCACCCTCCCGCATGTAGCAGCGAGGGGCTCCATCCCTTTCTCCCTTCCCCGTGGTGGCCCCACACCCTAAGTTTTTTTTTAAAAAGAGAAAAAAAAAAAACCTGACAAGAGAAAAATAAAGTAAACTAAAGCTGCCGAGCAGGAGTTGCTGCAGCCTGGTCAGAGTCTGGAGTGGGGAGCCAGGAGCTCCTGAGCCACGCCTGGCAGGGAAGATCGACGGGACACGGAGACCACAGCCAGCACAGTGCCCCTCGGCTCCTCTTGTTTGCGTTTTTAAGCTTGTGGTTTTTTCCTGTGTGTAATAAACAACAGCGGTCTGTGGGGAGAAGATCCTGGTCCGCTCGCTGCCAGCTCCGGCCCCACTCCTCCCGGAAGACAGCGCCCTCTGGAGCCTGCTGGGAGGATCACTGCCCGGAAGCCCCGGCGCCTGAGCCTGGCGCGCTGTCTTCACCTGGACCCGGCTCACTGGTCCAGAAGCAAGAAAAACACCCATGAGCCAAGAGCCCTCTTAACGCTGCTAACTCCAGGGGGACAGACTAGGGGACATCTTTGAAAAAAGCTGTTTTTGGTTTTTAAAAGCCCAACTTTTTTTTTTAACTACCATCACTGAAGTTGTCAGACTGGAGATGCTCTCCTTCACACCTCTTCACAGCTGGGACATTGTGTTGGTCTTTTTTTTTTTTTTTTCTAATTCTTCAAATACGACTTTTCTAATGCTAGCCCCCAGTGGTGCTAGGTGGGTGTCAGCCAGGCCCTAAGCACAGCCACAGTAGACCTGGGATCTAACAAGTTTTTGTTTGTTTCTTAATGTTTTGGATGGAATCTAGTTGCCTCCAAGAATTGTGCCTTATAGCATTTGGGGACCAGGGGGTAACTGCCCCTCCCTGAAATGTCCCTCAGCCTCTTCCCTTTTCCCCAGGGCCGTGTTCAAGCCGGCTGGGGAGGTAGGGGCCATGCCCTTAGCCCCCAGCTTGTTTGTACTGCAGTGAGGGGAAGAGGAGAGGAGGTGAACGGAGATTTCTTATGATAGAGTATCAAGTTCTTCCTGCCCACTTCCTCCAACCCACCCCTGGTCTACTCCCAGCTGTTTGAAGGATAGCACAGGCCCCTCATCCCTAGAGCTTCTCTCACCTTTAATTTATTCCCTCAACATGCTTTTTCTCCCTGACCTTCCCTGTCCCCCACCTTCTCAGAGCCTCCTAGACATAGGCCCTTTGGACCGAGTTTCTCAGGGATGCCCATGCTGCCCCTCAGCTCCTCTTGGCCTCGGTCTTCAGTCCTACCCTGGGAGCTGGAGCCTGGGTGTTTGGAGACATCTTGCCTCCGCCATATGATTCTTTCCCATGGGCTTGATTTTGCCCTAACCAGTTGGACAAAACTCTGTGCTGTCCCAGAGAGTAAAGCTATTCACCAAGGCACCGGACTCTGTGCATGGAGCTCTCTGCACCCACGCAGCTGGCCTGGCTTGTGCCCCTTGGAGCCTGGCGCTTTTCAGTGCTCCCAGGAGGAAGCATCAGAGAAAGACACCCCAAGTTTAACTGGCCTGACACACTTCTCCAGGGAAGACCTGTGAACCTGAGCCAAAGGACAGGGGTACACTTGTTTACCGTGTAAGCAAGAGTAGAAGAATGTCCAATGTACAATGGAACCGTGTACAGAATAAATAATAGCCTTGAGAAACAAGTTGGTAAGTGATGGAGTCTTGATTTGGGAGGGGTTTGAACCCAGGAAGAGATCCTGGCATGTTTAGTGGCCAAATATTCTACTGCTTCAACCGGATTGTAAATTTCAAGTTCTGGAAAAAGTTTACCCATGTTTTAAACTTTTTAGTTGTATAAAAAAACTGACATAATGCACGTTTTGAACACCATGTTCTTCATCTGGATTCACTGGTTGGTAATATTTTGCCACATCTGTTTATATATGTTTCTTTTGTCCTTTTAGGCAAAACATTTAGGGGTGAGCTGTCATATCACCGTTTCTAAATACCTCAGCATGCATCTGCTGAGAATAAGGACATTCTCCCACATAACCTCAACACTCTCTCCACCCCTGAGAAAATTAGCGTGTCTAATAGACTAAAATATCTAATCTCTTTAAATGGGCTGTCTGCTTTTTATCTGCTGGGACGGGTACCCTGGTGATTCTCTTTTGACACACTTGGGTCCCCATACAGACCTATGACAAGCTGAAACAGGTCTCCGGCACAGGCCGAATACAGCACAGTTTGCTCCTGGAGCACAGTGGCAATACCTGGATGTGGAGTGAACCAGACGTGGTCCTTGATAAATTAAAACATCTCAGTTTGCCCCACTAATACCTAGAAACAGCTGCCTATAAGTTAAAGCTTTTGTTCTCTTTAAAGTGCTTTTTTTAAGATGTCAACAGGTTTAACCCCTTAAAGAGCTGGCCTCTTTGGGGCCCTCAGGGCCTTGTCTCCTTTGGTTTTATCTTTTGCTTCTTAATGCTGTTCAGATCTTCCATTTCTGCCACTGATCTTGGAACTTAGGAAGCTGAAGTCCCCACCAGTTGAGCTGAGTGTTTTTTTTTGTGATTTTTCTAAGTGCCGTCCCTGCTGCAGTCACCGAAGTGTCAGTCAAGTCGTGTCTGTCGCATCCTTGCTGAGACAGCAGCGCCCACTGTCACACTCACCTCATGGGGTGAGGCAGTAGTGGGGGCACTTTTTCTGGGCATTTTCCAAGAGTGGGAAAAGGATTGAAAACAACAGTGACTCAAACCCTGCCCTGGGAGTGGCCTGACCCAGGATAAGATTTAAATGCTGATGATTTTGCCCAAACCACAGGTGAACAGGATCACCTTCAAAATGGAAACACTAGGCTTTTAGCAAAGTGGATGGGTGAGCCCCAAGTAAATGTAAGTTGCTAGCTCTTCTTTGACTAGCTTTTCACTGGAGGGAGAAGGCACCTGTGCATTTTTGCTGTCTTCCCCTAGGGAACAGACAGACTATAGATAACACCGAGGGCAGGGCTCAGCCCTTCCACCCTTGCTCCCAGCTCTCCCTTCTGTACTCAGCCTGTGGTGCCTCTCATCCCCATGGCAACAGGTTCTAGTGCTACACAGATCCCAAACACAATCTGTCCCCATGTTTCTTTATCTATCAGCTTTGCCTCCTAGCAACTGGGATTTTCCCCCATTCTTTGCTTGTGTTCCAGCAGGCCTCTCCCTGGGGGAGGTACTTCCCCTGCAACTGCTCTTGTATGACCTTGAACAAGAACCTCCCTCTTTCTGGGCCTCAGTGCCTCATCTGTGAGTTAAGGAGATTGACTAGTGGACCTTGAAGGTCTCAGCTCAAGTGTTCTCATTCTGAGTCACTTTTTCTCTAATTCATACCTCAAATCCTAAGTCAGGGCTACCTCCCCCCGGTTCCCTGGTTCTAGTTTATAGAGTTACTATATGTATTTATTTATACTTATATATGTATTTTTTTAAGTGACCAGTGCTCAGAAAATGCATATTACTTTCCATAAAACGTTAGCATTGGGACTACAGAGGTCACCTTGTCCACGTTCTCATTTGCAGTGAGGGTGGCACTAGAGAAGGCTAGCTCAAGGCCACCAGCTGGCAGTAGTGGAGGCAGGCTGGAACCCAGGTATCTTGACTCCCCCCCCAGTTCCCCTTCCATCTGAATACCCTGCCTTTGGGGTGAATAACTGATAGCATTTTGCAGGACTTTCTTCAGCCAATTTTCCAATCCTGTGTCTATTAGGAACTGGGCCGAACAGTGATGTAACAAGGGAACTCCCTGGCTCTGTACATCCACACAAATCCAAGAGCAAAACCGGCAGGCTCTGTCGCATACCTGGATCTAGTAGATCCGGGCTAGGCGCCTCTGAGGGTCCTCATCCTTCCTCACTCTGTGGGCAGAAACAAGCCCCTCTGCACCTATGCAGAGTTGTGAGTGTCTGGCACATCGTAGGTACTCACCAAATGTCCCTTCCCCCCACCTCACTCCTGCTTCCAGGACTGCACTGTCATCACTCCATTGAGATTCTCTCAGTGGGTGATCCTCAGCAAATGTTCAGTTCCCCTGGCCTCTCAGGATGCTGCTGCCTTCTTTTTCCCAAATAACATACTTAAAGGCTTAGGAATGCAAAGTAAGTATAGCCTTGCCCGAACCAAGCAGAATTGGTGAGGCAGAGCCACTGAAAGGGCGTTCCAAATCCAAGGAATGAGCTTTTCTGATTTCTTGACATTTGGTGTGACCTGCCTGCCTCTTGGAGATATGGTAAATTGGCGGGGATTGAGCTGCAGTCTTCCAGGCTCCTGGAGACTAGGGAAGATCCAGGAACCAGGGGGCGAAGGCCAAGTTGCCAAGAGACAGCCAAGACAGAAGCAAGCAACTAGGGCTCAAGGCTGCAGGCCTGCAACCTCCCTGTCCTCTTCAGACCCGGGATCCCGAAAACACCCCTGTGTGGTGTGCTTGCCCACAGCCCTCTCGCTCCCCACTATTCTACAAGGTTTGTAGAAAGAACATGGAAAATGGAAAAGAAAGGAAATAAATAAAGGGAAGGGAAAAAAGGAAAACAATTGAAAACCAGGAATCCAACAGCCCCAGCTCTGAAATGCAGCCCCGCTGCTTGCCAGCTGGACCACTTCGCCGCCTCAGTTACATCTGGAAAATGGGAACAAAAACACCTCCCTGAGTTTATCCCCAGGGCTGTGCTGATGGTCCAATGAGACAACAAGCTGAGTGGTCTGCATTCTATTTCTCTCATTGTCATTTTACTCAGGCCACATTCCCACCTAACCTGGTGCCTTACAGGGTGGCTTTCCTCCCTTCCCCCAAATGCTTTCATAAAACAGCCTCCTGCAAGTGTGCCGGTGCCAGCCGAGCCAAGGGTGTAGTTGCAGACAGGGCCCACAGCAAAGCCAGAGAGAGCTTCCTGCTCCCCCAGACCCCCCTTTGCCTCCTTTCTACTGTCTTCCCACGAACAGAGACAATTCTAAGACCCAGTTCTGACCAAGCCAGTCTGCTTGAAACAGGCTGCAGCCCAGGCTCCTTAGGCCCATGGTGCGAAGCCTCTCCCGCTTTGGGAATTCCCTACCCAATCACAAGTTCTGCCTATTAAAATCTTTTTCAACCCTCAAACTTTAGACTAAATGCCACCTCTTCCAGGAAGTCCCTCTGCCTGCCCCCTATCAAAGGTGGTCATTGCTGCTTCAGCTTACCCAGCATTGGACCTCTGACCTCATAACCCAGTAAACCAGCAGTTCTCAAAAGACCCCTTTACACTCTTGAAAATTATTGAGAACCTCAAATAACTTTAGTTCTTGTGGGTTATACCTAACAATATTTACTATATTAAAATTAGAACTGAAAGAAATTTAAATATTTTCTTATTTTGAAATTAAAAATTTTAAAATAATCATAAACCCTTTACACGCTAACATAAATGACATTTTTTTAAAAATTGCATCTTCCAAAACAAAAATAAATTAGTAAGAAGGGTAGCATCGTTTTACAGTTTTGCAAATCTCATTAACACCCGGCTTAAGAAAAGGCAGCTCTCTTCCGTCTCTTTCTGCATGAATCTGGTGCCAGAGCACCTGGGGCGGCCTCTGGGACCAAGCATCACCCGCTCACAAAGGACGGTGAAAAAGGCAAATGCTGTCTCGGTGGTGTGACCTCTCACACCCTCAAGAAGCAGTCCACATCCGCCGGGCCGAGGAAAGGCTTGCCCCTAGACAGAAGCAGCCCCAGGCCTCCAGGGGGTGAATGGAGAAGAACTTGGGGGTGGGGAACCTCGGAGGGCAAGAGCAGCTGCTTTAGGATCACCGACTCTGTCTCCATGGGGCTCCTCACTTTGTTCCCCCTTTTGCCTCCCCCCCAGGGTCAAGTGAAAGAGGTGTATCACAGAAAACGTGCGCTTTGGATTGACCTGGTCCTAGGTTCAACCCTTGTCTCTGGATCTTACCAGCTGTGCGACCTCAGGGAAGTTACCTAACTTCTCAGAGCCTTAGTGCCATTCTTGATAAAATGGTTATACTACCTGATAGAGTGACTGAAGGAAAGAAACCGTATGTAAGACCTCTCGCCCAGGGCCTAATACACAACAGACATTCCGTAAATGGTGGCCAGAAATACCGTGCTGCCTCTCCGGCTCCTGCTTCTGCCTGCCCAACTCTCAGCCTGAGCACGGCTAACACAAAACAGATTAACAATCCCTTCCTTTCTCTCTGAGGACAGCGGGGCCAGGCTGGGCTTTTCCAGCAGAACTTCACTAATGGAGAAAGGGGTGCGAAGTGACCTAGTCTGCAGAGTGTAGGTCTCCTGTCTTGCAACAGCAGATGGTCCCAATTGCCAGACTCCAGTGCCCTCCCGAGGGGTCTGCCCTGACCGGCCCCAGCCAAGCCTCAGGCACCACTCCTCCTCCTCGTCCTTCCTCCCGCAGGCTGAGGAGCCCCAGGCAGAGGCAGCCAACCCCTCAAACTCCCCCACGCACATCCGCAGAGACACAGCAGCCCATACACGCCACGTTCCTCCTATAATGGTTTATCTCCGTGTCCCGGGCACCTAGGTGCTTTAACAGGGCCCGTCCACAGACCCAGGCATGGCTAATGCCCCAGTCACCCAGAAGGGAGGAGCGGTGGGCAGCTGGTTTTGTCCAGGGTCCTTAGGACTCATGCGCCTTGAAGCTGACACTTGACCTTGAAGCCACTGACACCAGCTTCTAAGGCTCCCTCCTGCTGCAAAGCAGCCCCGTTGTCCTCCTTCCCTCCCAGCACCCCTCAGATGCTCACTCAATACTTTGGGTGAGGTTAGGAAAGCGGGGTGGCCAGCTTCCCAGGTCACACCCTCCAGGAACACCTAGTTTCCTCTGCAGGGTATTCTCAGACACTGCCTGCGCCTTTAAGGACTGCTGCCCTGTGCCAGGGTCTTGACCTCAGCATCCTCAGCTGAGTTGGATTAAGGGACCATTTCATGCCTCTGCGAATTCCTTCTGGCTGCTGTCCCTTCCCCCAAACAGAGACGGAGTAGCCAGTAGCCCAAACCAGTCTGCCAAGGGCAGCCTGGGATCTGGTCTGGTCTGGCAGCCCATTCCCTCAGGGAGCAGAGGCGTCTCCTTTGATAGAGGGTTTGGGGTCAGAGAGTGGGCCCTTGGGGGCTTGGGCTGTTGCAAGGACTCCAGAAAGCCATGCAGCGCCTTGAGCCATGAAGGACTGCTCAGATATCATCCTGTGTGTGGAGGGGACAGAGCTGAGCAAGGTAAGGGTCACATAGGACCACTCTCCTAAGCCAGATGGGTGCCCAGGGGACATGCCTGCTGGGCAGTGCTGCCACTGGCCCTCAGCCCTCAAGTCTCCCCCTTTCAGACTGAATTCTGCAATCCTGCTTTCGAGCCTGAATCGGGGCCCCCTTGCCCTCCACCGGCCTTCCAGGAGGATGCCAGCTGCAGCATCGGAGCTCCCTGGCACGGTAACCATCTCAGGGGGTGGCCTGGGGTAGGACAGAGAGGCCCAGGAGCTGAGGGCAGTTTGAGGGGTGCCCCAGGGAGGGGAGGTCTCAAAATCCCACCCCAACTGCCCACAGGTCGGCATCGCCGAGGGCTGCAACCAGACTGCCAGTTCTCCTGGCTGTGTGTCCTCCTGCTAGCCAGCCTGCTGCTCCTGCTGCTCGGGCTGCTAGTGGCCATCATCCTAGCCCGTAAGTACCTGGGCTCTGCTTGGGAGAAGGACTTCAGAATGAGACTCCTTGAGCTATGCTACCCAACCCCCCAGGGATCCAGCTCCTCTGAATCCTGCTCCTCCATCTTCCTGCCTCCAGAGTTGCAGGCTACACCCCCACTGGGGACCTCCTATCACCCACTGCCTGCCACCACCACCACTGGCACCACCCCCCTCATCACCACCACCACCTCTCAGGCAACTGGGACCCCTAAAGAGCAGCAGGAGGCAGGCATGAGCCCCACACCCCAGTCCAGTGAGTACTAAGGGCCGATCTTCCTGCAGAAAGGCCCAAGATGGCAGGGGGGAAGGGGGGCAGGAAAAGGCACCTTGGAAAAAAAGAGTCTCTCTCCTTTTGACCTCTGAACTCCCACCTCCATCTCTGCAGCCTGTGGGGGCCTCCTTCCTGGACCAAGGGGCTTCTTCAGCAGCCCTAACTACCCAGACCCTTACCCACCCAATGCCCACTGTGTGTGGCACATCCAGGTGGCCACAGACCATGCAATACAGCTCAAGATCGAAGCTCTCAGCATGGAGAGCGTGGCCTCCTGTCTCTTCGATCGCTTGGAAATCTCCCCTGAGCCTGAAGGCCCCCTCCTCAGGTGGGTCCCTATGCCCCCAGGAGATCCCACCACTGTCTGGAGGGCAAAACCAGGGTGCTGTGTGGGAAAGCCTTAACCTCTGGGCCTAGCACTGCCACCACCTTGCTATATGACCTTGGGAAGGTCGCCTTCCCTCTCTGACCTCAATTTCCAGATGTGTGAAATGGAGCTCTTACCTATTTTTCCCATGAATAAATGCTGCAAGGATGGATGTGCAGGTGCTAGGAAAGTCAGAGCTCCCTGGGAAATGAAAAGAGCATTTTTGAGCACCCTGTCACCAGATCAGGGCTTGAGGAAGAGGACCGGGGGGCCCAGGCAGACTCCCTTCTGGCTGGCCCTGTGCTCTGAGCCTCCATCACCCCAACCTGACTTCTTGCAGAGTGTGTGGGAGGGTACCTCCCCCCACACTCAACACCAATGCCAGCCACCTCCGGGTGGCCTTCGTCTCTGACAGCAGTGTGGAAGGATTTGGTTTCCATGCCTGGTACCAGGCTGTGGCTCCTGGGCATGGTGAGTGTTTTCCCATCATGTCCCCAGCTGCCTGGCAACTGTCCACTTCCCCCGCCTCCAGCCACTCCCAGCACTGGCAAAAAGGGGTGGAGACTCTGGGGGTTTCTCAATCCAGATGCCCACCCCCAGGGAGCTGTGCCCATGATGAGTTCCCCTGTGACCAGCTCATCTGCCTGCTGCCTGACTCAGTGTGTGATGGTTTTGCCAACTGCGCTGATGGCAGGGACGAGACCAACTGCAGTGCCAAGTTCTCTGGTATGGGCCCTGCCAGCCTCAGGGCAGGTACTGTCTTCAGGATCTGATCCAGGTTCAGGCTGGGCTCCCCAGTGCTGGCCCAGCCCCAAATCTGCCTGGTCATTCTGGCTCAAAACTTGTTTCCCCATGGGCATGGTCCAAGCTCTTCTCTGCAGCCACTGCTGGCCCCATTGGGTTAAGGCACAGCCCCCGGGAAACTCCTGAACCCTCCTCCTCTCTCCAGGCTGTGGGGGGAATCTGACTGGGCTCCAGGGCACTTTCTCTGCTCCCAGCTACCTGCAGCAGTACCCTCACCAACAGGTAAGCCCACGCTTCATGGGGAGGGCACTGTGGCACACACGGGCACACCTGAGCACCCAGGTTAGTGTGATTGGGAACAGCACAGCAGAAACTGCCTTGTATGGGAAGGTCAGAGATCAAGCAGGCAGGAAGGGAACATTGTTAAGTGCTTACTACCATCCAGATGTTCCTGCCTTGGGTAAATTTATCTCTGAGACCAGACAAGTTAAAGGCGCTTCTTATCTCAAGAACCCCAGATGATGAGAGCTGGCTGGGCAGCGCCCACCCACTCCCTGCCCAGCCTGCAGCAAGGAGAAACCCCATTGGAGGTCAGCCTGATGCCCAGATTGGGACAGGAGGAACCCGAGAATTACTCCATCTGTGCCCTCCCCCAGCTTTGCACCTGGCATATCTCGGTGCCTGCTGGACATGGCATAGAACTTCAGTTCCACAACTTCAGCCTGGAAGCTCAGGACGAGTGCAAGCTTGACTACGTGGAGGTGTACGAGACCAGCAACTCAGGGGCCCTCAGCCTCCTGGGCAGGTACTGGCAGAGCCAGGGGAGGAGCCGAGGATCAGCTCCGTGCTCTGCAGTCTGATGGTCAAGGCCTCCCGCAAATTAGCCCAGCTGACCCCCTCGCTTCATCTGCTGCTGCTGCTCCTAGCCAGAGTTCTCTTCACTGTCACCCTAAAAAAGGCTTGTCCTTTCTCGCCTTTGCTCCTGACGTCACCCTTCTCCAGAAGGCCCTTTTCCAGTCCTCTCCCTGTCCCTTCCACTTCCCTCACAAACACGCACTGATTCTTCCCATCTCGAAGTGGCTCAAGTTCAAGCAGTTCATTTAATACCTTGTCTGCTGAATATGTGTGTCTTCCTCCCCAGATCCTAAGCTCCGTGAGTCAGGGACCAAGCCTCCCATCCCCTCTGGCATCACCCCGAGCACCCAGCTCCCAGGGAGGCCTGTGGGAGGCCTCGGTCCACCCTCGGTCAGCCAAGGGCCCCGTGCCCAGGACTGCTCTCTGCTTCGGGCAGGTTCTGTGGAGCAGAGCCACCCCCTCGCCTCATCTCCTGGCACCACCAACTGGCTGTGCTCTTTAGGACAGATCATGGCATCAGCAGCGGGGGCTTCTCAGCCACCTACCGGGCCCTCAATGTCACAGAAAGTAGGTGCCCTGGATGAGTGGGTGTGGCCAGTAGAGGCACCCCCCGGAGAAGAGGGAAGGGCTCTGGATGCTGGTCAGGGCACCATGAAGGCAGTGGGGGTACAGGCATGTCCCAGGGCACTGCCATGACCCCTGTGCCTACAGACCCCTGTGGGCCCAGAGAGTTCTCCTGTCAGGATGGAGGGTGTCAGAGTCTACAGTGGATATGTGACACGTGGAGAAACTGTGCAGACAGCAGTGATGACAACTGCAGCAGCCCCTTGTTCCCACCCCCAGGTGAGAAGCCTGCCCCAGGGCACCCTGAGCAGGGCACGGAAGGCCTGAGCAGGCTGGAGGCCCATTCATAGAAAGCCTGCTGGCACACTTCATCACAGCCATCCCTATCCTCCCTACGGCAGCGATCCCCTATCCTGACTCTGGGACTGCTTCACAGAGTCCTGGAGGGACTCTCATCCAGTGGTGGCAGTGGTACTCAGTGTTACCCCCTAGGGAAATGGGAATCTGGGAGTCAACAGATGGGGCTTTAAGAACCAATCCAGCCTTGTCACACAGAAAGCCCCTCTCAAAGATGAAGGTGAGAACAGGGGACTTCCCTCCAGATGCCCAGCGGTCCCTACCAATGTGGGTGCCCGATGCTTTCTGAGATCAAAGAGCTGCCTGCACGATGCCCACGGCTGACAAATGATGCTTGGAGCAGGCTTTTAAGGATAACAGGAATCCTCAACATGTGTAGAGCCTCTCTCCATGTGATCTCCTTTGAGTCTCATGACAACCCCCGTCTGACCTACATAGAGCCAGTAGCTGTCCCTCCCCAGGTCACGCAGCCAATGAGTGGTTCCCACAGTGACCCTCCCCTCCTACCCCTGCAGAGCTGGCCTGTGAGCCTGTGCAGGTGGAGATGTGCATCGGCCTGAGCTACAACACCACGGCCTTCCCCAACATCTGGGTAGGCATGGCCACCCAGGAGGAGGTGGTGGAGGTTCTCAGAGGTTACAAGGTGCTCCAGCAGAGATAAGGAGGGACCCCGGGAAGGGGAGGGAGCCTGGGCAGCAGGGTGCCTGAGGGCTGATCTCCTCCTTCCACAGAGCCTGACAAGTCTGCCCTGCTACCAGAATTTCCGGAGGCTCCTGTGCGGGCTGCTTGTGCCCCACTGCACCCCGCTAGGCAGTGTCCTTCCCCCGTGCCGCTCTGTCTGCCAGGAGGCAGAGCGCCAGTGCCAGTCTGGCCTGGCATTACTGGGCACCCCCTGGCCCTTCAACTGCAACAGGCTGCCTGAGGCCGCTGGCCTGGAGGCTTGTGCCCAGCCCTGACCCTAAAGTGGGCCCCTGCCCTCTGTCTGCCCATCCCTCTTTTGCCTATCAGGGTGGGCAGGCAGGGGGACAAAGGAGGGGGACTAGCATGGGACTCTGCCCATCCTCTCTGGGGCCTCCCAATCTCCTGGATCTTTCCCTGTCCGTTTACTTGCCCCAGCTGCCTGTGGCTGGCTCCACGCTGTGCCATTGACAATCTAGACCAATTCCCATGCAAGATTCTGACCCCAGTTTTCTATCTTCTGCCTTCCCCTCTCCATCTGCTCTTTCAGGTTCCCATTTGCACTTTTTCATTTATTCAACAAAAACGTATCGAGTGCCTAGCAATGTGGCAGGCTCGGTTCTAGGCCCTGGGCTCCAGTTGTCTATCTGCCTCTAGAACTCTCCAGCCTTGGTTCTCAGCTTACATTTCTCCTAGACTAGAGTCTTGTCCTTGGTCTCACACTACACCATCTCTCCTTTTGGCTCCTTGGAGCTGTAGGTGTCCTGAGTGTCTATCTCTCACGGTTCTGCCTCTCTGTGCCGGCTCAAGTCTCTCTCCCCCTCCTTTCTCCTCCCAAACTTTGGCCGGCTGCCGGGCGACACCACGAGTTATTTCCCTGCTACTTCCCGGCCCGGAGCTCTTGGCCCCTGAACAACTGGTTTCCTCTTGGAGTCTGGGAGGAGCAGAGCCGAGCCGTCAGGGAGCGAACCAGGACCGGGGACGCGGGGGCCCGGGACGCCTGGCTAGGCAGAAGCGCAGGGGCGGAGCCGGGGTCAACAGGAGGGTCCGGAGTAGTGAGCTCCCTAAAGGAGACCAGAGAGCTAGCGGAGCAGCCCGGGAGCCGGGAGCGGGGTGAGTTTGGTGAGATGGGGGGGGGGGGGGGGGGGGGCCTCTGGGAAAGGGGATGCCTAAGGGGAATGGGGAGGGTTTTTTGGAAAAAAAAAACAGAGAAAGAGAGAGTACTGTTTGGTAGGTGCGGGAGGGTGGAGAAGTCTCTTTCAAAAGAGGACAACATGTATGGGAAGCCATCAAGGGGCCTTTTGTGATGACAAGTAGGAGGTGAAGTACTGGTCTCATTGAGCCCCTGGGTGGGCAGAGGGGAAACAGGCTCAGAGTCAGATGATCTGGCCAGATGTCATGTGCCAGTCTTGGGTGTAGGTGATTTCTGGAAATGGGGAGAGAACCGGGCCTCCATTCACTGCCCATCCACCCTCTTCTAGACCTTGTCCTTTGCTGGCCGTGGGAGCAGATTGGGCAACGGCCCCTGTGGGCCCAGTCCCTGGAACTGCCTGAGCCAGCTATGCAGCCTTTGCCTGCTGGGACTTTCTTGGAGGAGGTGGTAGAGGAGACCCCCAGCCCAGCCAGAGAGTGAGCTCAATGTGCTGGACCCCGAGGAAGATCTGCTGTGCATAGCCAAGACTTTCTCCTACCTTCGGGA